TTTTCCATCCTTTTGGCTTCTCTTGTTTCTTTAGTTCCTTTAAAAAAAATTTGCTCATCTCTTCTGTGGAAGAGGAATCAGTTTTAATAGCCATACTTACCTTGTTCCTTTGTTTATTGGACTCTAGAGATAAGCATTTCCTGTAGGAATATACAACATACTTGGGGCTATTAAAATGTGCTAAAAATGAGCCAATTAATAACATTTTTATTGACAATTCCCAGGAAACCTTCAATATTTAGTTTCTGTAAGAATATGTTTTCGGATAGCAAGGCTGGACTATCACATAAGTGGAAAGTGTTAGTAGTAGCAATGCCTTGATGGCCGCAGACTCACCACTGAGGGAGGGACATCACTGATTAAAAATCCCATCTGTCCCAAAGAGATTCTCAATCTGCTTACCTAGCAGTTTGTAAAGCAAATCCTCTCTGTGATTAGGATTCTTGTATAGCCATTTATTTGTTTCTCAAGATCTTTTGTTATGTGCACATTATACCATGACAACTTTGTGAAACAGGGTTCATCTGCTAAGACTTTCTATGCTCTTTACTTGTGGATGCTACTTTTATTCAGTTATATGTTTAGTGGATTAAATGTATCCGAAGCACACATTTGAAGTTATCACTAGTTCTAAGAATTGTGATATCAGTGGGTTAAATATATACTAGCTGGTATATTTATATTCTGATAACCAGGGTGAGTTTTGTCTCTATTTTGAAGAATTAAAGATGGGAGAATTATGTTACTAGATTCAAGTTTTATATAAAATACTCTTAGCTGACTTTATTTTCCTAAATAATGACATTACTCTTGTTACATAGAATTTCACAATTTAAAGCTCACTTTTACATGGTTTAATCTTATTTTCCACAAGATATTATCTCCCCACTCCTATACCCAAACCAAAAGCAAATTCACTGCCATGGAATCTGTGCTGACTCATAGCCACCCCCCAGTGGGTTTCCGTGACTGCAACTGTTCATGTGAGTAGAAAGCCAAGTCTTTCTCCCGCAGAGTTGCTGGTGGTTTTGACTGCCGACTATGCAGTCATGTAACCACTACACCACCAGGGCTCCTGTTACCCAATATGGAGATCATTTAATCATTGGCTGTAAGATTGAAAGGGGCCTTCAAAGTCATCTGAATCAATCACTCTACTCCATTGTCAGCTAATCTATTATCAATCAATCAAGCAAAAATAGCCAGGGAGTCATTCTTTTATTTGTTACCCTGAAGTGGGGTTATATAGTCATCATTGATATCAGTGCCCCCTCTTCCGATCCCCCCACTTTCTTTCTGTACCTTCAGAGAATCATTACTCCCATTATAATTCCTGAGGGGTCTAGCTATCTTGAAATTCGTGCATCGAAACAATCTTAATTATACACATGAACAAATGCAGGTCTAACAGGATTAATGAGGTAAAACTATAATGGGATGAATAACAGAATGGCAGATGAACAGATACATTGGATGGTATAAGTACAGGGGTGGGGGCAGAGGGGGGGTAGGAAGGAATAACAATAATAATATATATATTATTGGAATAAAATATAGGAAATAATTATTCTAATAACTTATTGGAATAACAAATAAGGAATAATAATAATAAGGGCTCTTGGTGGGTAGGGTGGGGGAAGGAAGGAGATAAAGGGGAGTTGATACAAAGAGTGCAAGCTGAAAGGAAATGTTTTGAAAATGATGGTGGCAACAATTGTGCAATCACACTTGATCCAATTGAACTATGGATTGCCATAATATCGGTAGAGCTCCCAGTAAAATTGAAATCTATATCTATATCTATATAGAGAGAGACTAATCAAATAGGAAGTGAAAACAAATGTAAGGATATCTCTTTAAAATACAAAGATTTAAAAAAAAAAGAAAGAAAGATACTTTTCTCCTTCACCCCATTTTTACTTTTTGTTTGATATTTTTTTTAGTCTCTGCCTACCAAGCCTATGGACTCGCCCTTTCGGTGCCCTTGGCTTGGGTCTAATCACTCCTGGCAGAGCCGAAAGCTTGTTCACTCTATTTCAAGTCCCTACTACGAATTTGCATCTACACCCCAAGTGCACTGAATTAGAGTCCACATTTTAAGATCTCCAGGTGATTTCTCATCGAACCTTAGGTGAGTCATGTATACATAAAAATCGTCTGAGGATCTTGTGAAACTGGGATTCTGATTCAATATATTTGGGGTGGAAATGAAAAGCACAACAAAACAGAACACCCAGCGTGTAAAACGGGAACAAAGCGGCTTGAAACCCTGAAGAAGGATAGGAATTTCTTCACCATTTGGAAACATTATCAACCTCTCTTCAGGCTCAGACCTCACCCACAGACTAAGCCTAAGTGGGTGTAAAATGTATTTGTTATTTTTAACCTCTTTAATTTATGAAAGAAAATTGGATTAAATTTTAGTTAAAGTTATTTTAGATTTAATTTCTTTAAGATACTAAGTTTACTAGTTTTGTTACATCCAATCATACTAACATGATTGGAGAAAATGAAAGTTACAAGCATGGAGCATAACAAAGTCATTTGCTCTAATCTGGAATTTTATATTGTTATTTCTTCATTAAAAATGTGGGTGCTATTTTTAAATTCTAGAAATTATTTTTAATAAAAAATTTGGGGGGGCTCTTACAGATATTATAACAATCCATAAATCAGTTATATCACGTGAGCTTGTACATATGTTGCCATCATCAATTTCAAAACATATTTCTACTTGAGCCCTTTGATATCAGCTCTGCTTTCCCCTCCCTCCCCCAACCTTCCACTTTCATGAGTCCTTAATAAATTATATATTATTATTTTTTCATATCTTACATTTTTTGCTCTGTCCCTTTACCCACATTTTTGTTATTTGTCCCCTTGGGGCGGGGCAGGGTTATTCATCATTGCTATCAGTTCCCCCTTCTCCCCTTCCCTACCCACCCTCTCCATATCCTCATGGTTTTGCTACTCCTGTTACTGTTTCTGAGGGGTTTAATCTATCCTGGATTCTGTGTGTTGATAGCTCTTATTTGTTTCAATGTACATGTTCCGGTCTAGCTGGATATATGAGGTAGAACTTGGCTCATGATAGTCCGGGAAGGAAGCATCAAAGAACTAGAGGAGTGTTGTATGTTTTTTGGTGCTATATTGCACCCTGGGTGAGTCATCCCTACCATGTGAGCCTTCTGTGAGAGGATGTCCACTAGTCTACAGATGAACTTTGGGTCTCTCTCTGGCACCTATCCTTCACATTGATAAAATTGTTTTTGATCTTCTGATACCTGATCCTGTCAACACCTCTGGCATGCAGCATGTGGGCTTTGTTGCTTCTCTGCTGGATGGCTGCTTCTTTAACTTCAAGCCTTTAAGACCCCATGAGAAACCAACTCAAGGGATGTTCCAGGGAAACTTGGGAGAGGAGGAGGCATGGGAAAGGGAGCGGGGAGGCAACAAACTCAGGGAACAAGGGAATGACAAGGGATTTACAGGTGCTGAAAAGGGTGTAGAATGCTTGGTTTCATGAATTGTAATGTAGCCAAGAGGAATTTCTGAGAGCCAAATGAAGGTCAAACATGATAGTGGGGCAGGAGGAAAGTAAAAGGAAATAGAGGAAAGAACTAGGATAAAAAAGGTATATATAGTGGTCTAAATATAGGCATGTACATATGTAAATATACTAATATATAATGTTAGGGGTATTGGTCTATGTACTTTATATTTATATGTTAAAGTATTAAGGTAGCGGATGGACTTTGGCCCTGTACTCAAGTCTTCCCTCAACACAAGAACACTGCTATTCCTTGATGCTCACTTTACCTACCCGATCGCTGAAGACAGAATGGGTGCATAAGCAAATGTGGTGAAGAAAGCTGATGGTGCCTGGCTATTAGAAATTATTTTTATTCACTCAGGGGAATGAAAAACAGAAATGTGAGTGACGGGAGACAGCGGATGATGTAAAATATGAAAATAAAAATAATTTATAAATTATCAAGAGTTCACAAGGGTGGGAGGGTAGGGGAAAATAAGAGGAGCTGATACCAAGGGCTCAAGTAGAAAGAAAATGTTTTTAAAATGATGATGGAAACATATGTAAAAATGTATCAACAGTTGATGTATGAATTATTATAAGAGCTCTATGAGCCCCCAATAAAATGATTTATTAACAACAAAAATAAAACAATAAAAATAAAAAGATAAAGATTATTTTTATCTTGCTTGATAAGATGGCAAATAAAATCAAGTACATTGTTCTGGTCCATAGATGAAAAGGTATAAACTCAGCCACTCAGGCTCGATTTAATTTGTGAGGTGATTGTCTTTTAATGATCACTTGATCAGTGTTCCTATGAAGTAATTGGAAAACCAATACTTTGCAAAATTGTGTGTGGGAGGGGGGTGGGGGAATTGATGCAACAGGGCCTGGATTTCCTGAGCCTATCCTATGGGGCCCGAGCAAATGATAGTGATTCCTCCTTTGCAAGATAAGGAACTCAGGATCATTTCTGAGTAAATGGAAGACGAATTAGCCAGTGAGTGAGGAAAAGATTAAAAAAAAAAAAACCATTCCCAAGCGTGTGGAGATGACTTCATGCTGCCTTTTGCCCCCGTTGCTAGGAGAATGAAGAGCTGGCGTGTGTGTACGTGTGCATAATCCCCTGTGTCCACACAGAGTGACGCACAGGGAAACAGAAGCCTATTAAACCTGGGATTTGCTCTTCACTGTAAACCTGTAAACAGGAAAGTGTATATCCCAGCATGATGTAGAGCTGTCTCTTTAACCAATATGGATTAGAAATGAAACACCATTATTTGTTTTGTAATAAATTGTCAGGAAACTGACACAGAGAGCGTCATTCAGAGTCCAGAGTTTTCCATTTTGTCCCCATTTCTGAATTAAGAATTCTGAAGGCAAAGCCTCTTCAGAACCCTTTATTTAGACTTTACCAGAAAAAATAGCCTTCTTGTCTAGAGAGGTTTGTGGTTCCCTGGTAACCATGGTTATTAATCTTCATGAGAAATCAGTTGTTCATGACACTGCTGCCCTCATTCCCATGAAGAAGGTCCATTCCTTCCTGGAAAGGGAGGACACAGCAGCAAACCTTGACACTGGTAAGTGTCCCACATGTCCACAGGCTCCCAGATGCTGCCTTGAGTCTCCTGCAGTTACTCCTGTACCCCCTCCATTGTTCGAGGAAGGTGTTCAGATAGCCAAGGCTGCACCTGCATCTCAAGAGAAGGCACTTCTGTCAGCGGCTCGGAAGATGGGGTTTAAAGCAAGACCACTCACTCATTTGCTCATGCATTTATGCAATAGGTAATAATTGTTCTCTTACCATGTTTCAAAGTGTGTCCGAGGCCTGGCGGACACATGTGTGTGGTAAATTAAATACTATCTCAGTACTAAGAGATATTACAATCTAGAGAGAAGCAGGGTTATTGAGTAACCACATTAATGAATGTGTATTTTCAATTTGAGTTACTAAAAATAACTAGGAAACTGAACTTACTCTGAGAAGCATTATTCACAAATGCTTAGAAGCAGGTAAAATGTGTTAGAGAAGTCAACTGGGGCTAGACCACATGGAATGAAAGATATTGTCAATAGTTTTGTCCTTCATGGTGATTGGTTATGTGGTAGTTATATAATCATTTGTCAATTTGAGGATTAAGAATGTAGGGATGGAGTCTAGCCTGTCAATCAGATCATAACCAATGAGGCCTCTGTGTGGGCATGGCCTTCTCCTGAGAATTCTGGGAAATCTGGTATTTTTGCTCCCTGGAGGTGGGAGACTCTCTGCTCACACCCTGGGAGACATAGCAGCTGACAAGACACATGGACCCACCCTGATGCAGAGACCCCTGCCAGCGCTGAGATGTTTCCGTTGCCACTGGATCCAAAGACTCTCTACCCACTGGCCTGTGATCTTCCTGCATTTGGCGTCATTGCATGTGTTTTGTAAGTCTGAAGAGGACTTTATAAATTGGTATCGGACATATGGGCTAATATTGGACTTATGAACTTGATCTGGACTGGGCTTGGATGTTTTCTCAATGTTCAATTGCTCTTGTATATAGATCTCTTTCTTATACACATATGTGTGTCCATGGATTTGTTTCTCTAGTCTACCCAAGACTAACACAACCGTAGAACTGACCCTTAGATAGCTGTGTTTTAAACAGATAACTCTGGCTTTGGAAGGGAAGTCCTGGAGTGAGACCAGCAAGGCATTGGGACTCTTTCAGTTTTTAACCTTGACGCTCATTAATTCAATATTCCTTCAGTTTTGTCTCATGCCTCACTATCTCTCACGTGCCTGTCTGTTCTCCAAATTCTATATTCTTTCAGTTTAGTAATTCTGTATTATGTACTTTTGGGTCCTCTGGTGTGCCCGACACAGGGATTTATATCTCCACCAAGTATTACATTTAAACACTGCAGCTCTTCTCCATATTCACAGTGCATATCAGTAGGCTTAAAAGGACACAGCTCTTACGAATTTTGGTGATAGAATGATTGAATGATTTCCTCAGGACAGAGAAAGATAAAAATAGACTTCCCAGAACCCCACTTCCTTATGTGAATGTGTTAAATATAATGATCTATATAGCCCTATCATTATGGTCATTATTTTTATATTGTTCTCACAAATATGACAATGTCTCAGGAACTTCACGAATGCTTCCAATATGCTTCCAATATCCATCATCTTTCAATTCTATTTCTAAAGAACTTTTAGCTACCTCCTTATACAATAGACATGAGGTAAGGCATTTAAAAGCAACACTATGAGGCTTCTAGCTCACACATTGTGGTAGTTATATACTCATTTGTCAATGTGAGAAGATTCTGAGTGAAGGGTGGAGTTTACCTGCCCATCAGGTCATAGCCAATGAGGCCTCTGTGTGGGTATGGCCATCTCCTGAGGAACTCTGGTATTCATCCTTGGAGGTGGGAAACACACACTCTCTCAAATCACTCCCTGGGAGACATTGCAGCTGACAAGACACCTGGATCTACGCTAGTGCCCTGAGCTGGAGAGACCATGTGCTGAGATGTTTACAGTGCAACTGCATCCACAAGACTTCTCACCCGCTGGCCTGTGATCTTCCTGCATTCGGTGCTATTACATGTGTGGTGTGAGTCTGAAGAGTAGTTTATAGATTGGTATCAGACATGTGGGCTAATATCAGATTTATGGACTTGATCTGGACTGGGCTGGGATGTTTTCTTTTGGGGGGGGGGTGTTTTCTTAATGTACATGTACTCTTTATATAAAGCTTTTTCTTGAGCACATATGAGTGTGTGAATTTGTTTCTCTTTTACTGCAATGTTGGGCAAATTATAAAGCACACAACTTTAATGGAACGGAAGAAGGTAAATATAACTTTTAAAAATCAGAAGCACGTCTCTCTTCTCTTACCTTCTGGGCAAGTATGGACCAAAAGCCAAACAAAGAAAAGACCCAAACCCTTTGTCGTCCAGTTGTTTCTGATTTATGGCCACCTTGTAGCTTTACTAGACTCCCTCTCAAGGTGAAAAAAAAAATGAGAGGGGTATAAATAGTACTGATCCTACTCCCTCCTGATCCATAGATTAAAATCAGCATAAACTCTGGTCACAGAAGGACCTGGTGTTCTGTGGTTAAGAGCTATTTACCTCCCACATTTAGTAGTCCTTCAAGATGTGAAGCATATTTAGAAAATTTGTTTCCAGGAGAAAGCAATTCCAATTTTTTTTTTCTTACATCAGAAACGAGCAGCTCTACTAATTTTGCAAAAAAGGAAAATTCTTTTCATTCCACAAGTTGAGCCCATGGAAGAGATGAAGCAGGAAGGAGCCAAACAATATAACTAATTAAGATCACTTGCTACAATGCTCTACAACTTCTTTAGTATTCCTAAAAAGCAATAGCAAGCAGCAGTAAAGAACACTGGGGATTTATATTTGAATTCTGAGCCCTTCGTTTGCATATGTATACTAGTGAAAATGAAATATCTGTGCTTCACATTTTATTTGACTGCTCTAAGGAGAAAATTAGGTTATGTACGGTAACTCAAACGCAACCCCTTGCCATTGAGTCAATTCTGTCTCCTAACCACCTTATGGGATAGAGTAGAATTGCCCTATGATCTCCGAGGCTAAGCAGAAAGCCTAATTTTCCTCCTGGGAGCAGCAGGTGGGCATGAATCTTTTGGGTTCACTACACAACACATAACCAACTATGTCACAGGGTTCCTATGTTTGGCAAAGCACCTCATAATTAAATATAATGTAACATAAGAATGATAATATTAAAAATAATAACAAACACGGAGCACTTATTGGTTATATATTGTTTTAAGCATTTATATCCATTATTTCATTTAGCTCTAGTGATACCTGATTTGGGAGCTCTATAGTTGCAAATTGGGTTATGCTGTGGCTGCTAACCACAAGGTTAGTTGCTCAAACCCACCAGTCGCCCTGTTGGAGAAAGAGGAAGTTTTCTGCTCCCATAAAGGTTTACAGCCTGAGAAATCCCAGAGGCAGTTCAAATCTGCCCTATAGAGTTGTTATGAATCTGAGTGGACTCAATGGAGGTTTGATTATTATTTTGTTCTGTTTAACAAATGAAGAAGCATGGTGCCAGAGAACTGAAGTAACATCTTCAAACCAGCCAAAATTGGTGCTAGGACTTAAACCACAGCAGCTGTGTAGCTTTAGAGTACATGATTGTAATCACTGTCTATCTATCTATCTATCTATCTATCTATCTATCTATCTATCTATCTATCTATCTATCTATCTATCTATCTAACTATCATCTATCCATCTAATCTCTCTATCTATCCAACTATAGCTCAGAATAATCCAGGACACCTGCCTTTGAATCCTAGTTTCAGTGACAGGGTCAGGCCTCTTAAAGTTCAGTGTTAGTTTATAAAATGGAAATTGAAGATAATACCTTCACCTTATGCACAGTACTGTGTTGCTAGAGTAGTTACTAAAGTGGGATGGATTGCTGGTGAGAGAGGACTAGAAGAACAGAAGGGCTGTGTGGGGTGTTTTGATATTTGCAGGGATAAGTAAACAAGTCTTGCTATAAAAGAGTAGAAACTTTTATTAAACAAAAATATAAAAATATGCAGCTCTTGTTTTCTGACATACCCTCCATCTAGGTCTCCATGTTGTTTCCTTCCTTTAAGTCCTTTCTTGGTTCCACCGTGTCACAATGGTAGCCCGGATATCTGCGAGGGACTCAAATTGTGTTCCTTTGAAACGATCTTTGAGGTTTGGAAACAAAAATAAGTCTGAAAGGTTGAGGTGAGGGCTGGAGGATGGCTGGGTAAGACTGAAAGCTAAGCTTTTGATAGCACATCCCACAGACGAAATGGACTCTCCTGGGAAAGCAGGCAGGGAAGAAGCAGTGGTACGGTTGAAGAGGGAGAGAACTTGCCGGCTCCAGAAGTGGGGGACACAGGAGAGGGCTGGAGGAGAAACCCAGGAAAGTGTGCCATCTCTAGAAAGGGTAGACAGAAAAACGGGGGGCGGGGGGGGGGCGCAGGTGGAACCAAAATTGCCCAATGGAATTCTTTTAGGTCAGCCTTTGCTATCCTTGAAGACTATATATATACATACACACACACACACACACACACATATGGAAAACTAAATTCTCGGTATGATTTTTTCTGGCCTTTTTCTTACCAACACTATTTTTAGTTTCCTTAAAAGATCTTCCTAATAAGCCCCCATGATCCTTTGTCCTTTGAGAAACTCTGTCAAGATGAACCCTCTGAAGCTCCCCAAACAATCACATAACCTTCTGAAATGGTCACTCTGCTGTCAGTCCAACTGGTTGACCAGGTACCTTGGATGCCACTGTTGTGACTGCACCCTTGCTCTTGTCTTTTGAAGACACTTTACTAAGGCTAAGCGAGTTCTTGAGAGAACTTTTCTTCTGCCACCCACAGATTGCAGACACACGTGTTAGTGCATTTCACTTGGAATAAACCCATACATGTGTGTATTAACTGGGACTCTAAGGGCAGTTCATTTTCAATGCATGCCAGGGTTGGAGCTATCGATTCTGCAGGGAAAAGAAGCTGTCAGCCAGGCTTAACAAAGGCTAAAAAGCAAAAACAAAACATGAAGTGAGTTTCAACTTCTGGTGACTACATGTATGTTAGAGTAGAACTGTGCGCCGTAGGATTTTCTTTTCTTTAAAAAAAAGTTTTATCAACATGTCATGCACTTCAAGAGCTTGGTCATATCGACAAGAGTTGTCCAGCTCCACAGGTTTCCAGTGGTTGATGTCTCAGACGTAGATTAGCAGGCCTGTGCGGACTGGAAGCCCCAACCTTTTGTTGAGCAGCTTAACTCCATAATTAATAGTAGTAGGTTTGTCACACCTTCAGCACTAAATGCCACTTGCTCCCTTTTGGACAATATAGGAAATATTTCCATACCACCTATCGTCTTTTGTCTTTTAGGCGAGCCTGAATTTAAATACATTGGAAATATGCATGGCAATGAGGCAGTTGGACGAGAACTGCTCATTTTCTTGGCCCAGTACCTGTGCAATGAGTACCAGAAGGGGAATGCGACCATCGTGAACCTGATCCACAGCACACGCATCCACATCATGCCTTCCCTGAACCCGGATGGCTTTGAGAAGGCGGCGTCTCAGGTCAGTGTGAGCCAGGGCACAAGGACATTTGTTTGCATGTTTGTACGTACATAGTACTTCTGGTCAAATAATGCATGACAAGTGGCTGTGGAGATCCACGTAAGAGCACTGGCGGGTCTAGAGACATGATTCAGCTTACTGGCACGAAAAACTGTGGAGGATAATGGTGAGGTCATGAATGTAAGGCTTTATTAATCAGCCAACATTTTATTAATGTGCTGTTGGGCTGCAAAATAAATACTATTTATTCACCCATGTTTGTAACTAGGTAAAACTCAGCAAGTCTGCAAAATAGCTTCTATGTATTGAAGCCTCCCGCCAGGGCAGTCTGTGAATGCGTTGGTGTCGTGGCGCCCTCTACTGAAACCAAAGAAGAAAGACCGCTTAACAGTTTACTGAAGTTTAATCCTTGGGCCTATGCACAGACTTTCCCCCATCTGAAAGCAGCGTGCCTATGAAACCTTTCATTAGCTGAAGTGACACAAAGAGAGGCATTTACCTCTAACTAAACAAACGAACATTGCTTTTGAGTATTTCCAGACTCCTCACATAACTCACGGTATCATAATAAATAACATATAAAACCTAAAATAACACTAACAAGTAGTAAAAGCAGGGATGACAGGGTAAATACACTGCCAATATAAAGAAAAAAATAATTTGTTGGCAGTAGTTCTTTGGGAAGGAGCTGGGCCACACCACCCTTGCTGCTTGGTTGGCTGCAAACACTGAACGCTACTTGTGCTTTTTGGATAAAATTGAAAAACATCTTTGGAAGCCTTTTGGATAGTGAAAAAAGATAGTAATAATGTACGTCTTTCATTATAATGAGGTGATGTGAAGCTAACTTCCCAAAGTAGGGGCTACCTGTATCAGGAGTAATGTAGAAAATTTAATACACCTTAATTTCTACAGAAGCTGTAACGTTGATAAGTTTTAGAGAAGATACATGGTGTATATGATGTGTGCCCTTCTTTATTTTTGAGTGGACATGGTGTTGTGTTAAGCTGAATTGTCTAGGGAAACAAAACCAGTGACGCTCATATCTATGTAACTTAAAAGAAAACATCCCAGGTCAGTCCAGCTCAAGCCCATGGGTCTGACGCTAGCCAGAAGCCCCTTCAGACTCACATAGATGAAGGCTGGTGATGCAGAAAAGTGAAGCTACATGCAAGTGCAGGGTCCATGGACCCAGGGTCAGTGGCAGCATGGCAGGGCATGCAGACAGCTCAGAGATGACTCCTGGGGTCAGCTGCACATATGGGACCATGCCTGGAGACAGACAGAGTGCAAGCAAGGAGGAAGGAGAAGAGCAAGGAGGAAGCATAAGTTCGCATTGTCTCTCTTGTCGAAAAGGCTACACACACGGGAGGCATCATCAGTCTGTGACCTGATTGACAGGTTGGACTCTACCGCTACATTTTCATGAAAACTCAAGTTGGCATAAAATATAACTGAATAGTTTGAAACAATATAATTTTATGACAAAATCCTGATATGCTTATAGTTAAGAAGTTAATTTGGTGCTTATAAATAAAATATCTAATAGACTTGTAATTTGCCTTTGTAAGAAACCCAGAAAGTGTCATTTCTAAAGTTTTGAGAGAGACATTCTAATAACATAGAAGATTGAAATACTTAAATTTTATGGAATGGAAAATACATGATCATTCCTATTTTGTTTTGTAGATTTTTGCAACTTACAAAGTAAGATATTTGAGTTTACATGATCTCAGAATATGGAGATTATCTTTATTTCATGGATTTGGGATAATCTAACATAAAAACCCCAAGAAAATCCAGTTAAGAAAAATATGATCTAACATCTTCAAAATTCTTAGTTGTACCATTTTCTAAGTTGTAACATTGGTAAAATGAAAGGTTTACATTGAACAGCAATTCCTCAGATGATGAGGCTCTTTTATTTTTGAATAGTTTTTGGGCATATATTTCATATATCAGACAATTTGATAGTTTAGTCATATTAAGAACAATTTTGCAGTCATCACCACAATCAATTTCAGAGTCTTTTCTTCTTCTTGTATTCATTGTTGCTAGCTCTCCCTTTCCCCTCAACCTCTCCTGTCATGCCCCTTGGTGATTATTAATCCAGTTGCTGTCTCTATATATTTATCTATCTTGGATTTCATGCAAAGGAAATCATGCAAAACCAAACTGGAAGCAAACAACAGCAACAACAAAAAACAAAACCCAACAACAATGTCAAAACAAAGCAAAGAAAAACCTCTATAGCAAAGAAAGCAGAGAATTTAAAAACTGAAACAACTTTAAAGTGGGTCAAATGGGAGATCAAATGATAAGGTATTATATTTTAACTTAACCACATCTGCCATAATCTACTTTACAATGCACTCTGTCTGACAACAAGGCTATTCACAGCCCTTGACTATAGTCAGAGGGGATTCACTGTAGCCTTAATCCTCATCGGGACCCTGCAAATAGATTTTGGATTTCCACTCTCATCCATAGCCTTTTGCAAACTGAGTGCTCATACTTTAAGCTCTGATACATCCCCTCTTTCAGGCTTGAAATAATGAAATCCAAATCCGAAGACCTTAGAACTTTTGATACAGGGTTCATGCAGTTTCATGATGACTATAAAAGGGAAGTATGCTTTTAGTGTTTAAATAACTCATATTAAGCATATTTTTAGATTCTAAAAGTATTTAGCAATGTATCATTTTCAACATTTCTTTATATAAGCTTGCTGTGATTTATAGGCACAACTAATGAAACCTAATTGTAAAACTGCATGTTTTGAAAGAGTTCATCTATAATTAGTTGATAAATGCTTTTTTTGGCAACTTGATAATAAAGTATTTTAAATATTACTATTATTAACATGAGAAACATTATTCATTAAGCCTTTTCCAGAGACTCATGTCTGATACCTTCATGGTTATATTAGTAAAATAGTGAAAATATCATTATGGGGGATATTATTGAAGTAAGTAATCTTACTACATTGTTTGCAAATCATAATGGAGACCTTAAACAGGTAGTGTTACTTATAGTAACTAACTGATGGCTTTTCTCTCTGCCTTTTTAGCCTGGTGAGCTTAAGGACTGGTTTGTGGGCCGGAGCAATGCCCAAGGAATCGATCTGAATCGAAACTTTCCTGACCTGGATAGAATAGTTTATGTGAATGAGAAAGAAGGTGGTCCAAATAATCATCTGTTGAAAAACCTGAAGAAAATTGTGGATCAAAACACTAAGGTAGAGAAAATGTATACGTTTCTTGGGTTTTGTCCTCTAACTGAAGGAAACGTGCTCTGATATTTGATCACAATGATACAGGATAGTTATAGGAGTAATGGCAAAGTTTGCATTGTAGAGGTGATTATGGTTGTGAAGGTCAAAGATATAAGGATGAGAGTCCTGAAGTCAGTCTTGCTCCCTAAATTTGGTAAAGGTGTTTGTGACGCAGCATCAGTATGGAGGGAAGGAAGGTAAGAACCCAGTTGTGGGTATCCGGGAAAGTCATGCTGGACAGCCCCACAAAACAACCCTCCACCACTGAGTTGATTCTGATTCATAGCACCCTTATAGGGCAGGGTAGAGCTGTCCCTATGGGTTTCAGAGACTGTAACCGTTTTTTCCCCCACTTTCTTTAAAATATCACACAAATAGATACTTTGAGCATATTACGAAGAGCTGGGCAATTATCACCAAAATCAATTTCAGAACATTGTTATTAGCTGCCCTTCACTCTCTCCCCAAACTCCCCTTGCCATGTCCCTCGGTAATTATTCATCAAGTTTGGTCTTTCACAGAAAATCATGCAAAACAAATGGGGAGTGAACAACAACAAATACCCCAACAATAATGACAAAACAAAACAAAGAAAAACTTCAATAGAAAAGAAAGCTGAAACAACTGTAAAATGGGTCAAAAGGGAGATCAAATGATATGGGGTTATATTTCACTTAACTACAGCTGGCAAAATTGACTTTACAATGTTCTCAGTCTGGTGGCAAGGTTATTTATATTCCTGGACTATGGTCAGAGGGGAATCTTAATCCATGTGAGGACCCTGCAAATGGATTTTGGGCGTCCACTATCATCCATAGCCTCTTGCAAAACAGATACTCATAATTTAAGCTCTCATACTTTTCCTTCTCCAGATTTGGATTTTTATTATTTATAATCCTTGGGTCACACAGTCTAGTGGTGTGTTTCTTCCAGTGGACTTAGTTGATGTCCATGTAGATGGCTACTTGCTTGAAAACAAGCCTTTAAGACCCCAGACTCTATTTTTTGTTTTGTTTTTCGCTAGTCTGCCACAATCTGATTTCTTCACCACACTGCTAGACTGTAACGTTTTATGGGAGTAGAAAGCCTAATTTTTCTTCTACTGAGCTCCTTGTGGCTTTGAACTGCTGACTTTCCAGTTAGTAGCCCAAAGCATAATAACTATACCACACAGGCTTCCTAGAAGGGACTTCCCACAGGCCTTTTATCAACTCTAAAGTTCTTCCTGCAGCATTTCACATTGATGATCTCTTATTTATTTTTCTGAAATTTCGCTTTTCTTTGTCCAATACACCTTTCTCCTGGTCCTTCTATTGCCTTTCTGCTTATTACTCAGCTGATTTCCCTGCTTGTTCTGCTGTGCTTTAAATGCTGACATTTCAAATTCTCTAGCTTCATATCCTTAGGTTAACTTTCTTGCTCACTGGTTCCCTTGATTTGTTGGCAAGGAATCTTAAACTCAAGTATGTTTAAAAACTATTTTTATTATATAAACAAAGTTCCAAAAACCAGAGCGTGACACTGCCATTTGTCTCAGAGCTTTTATGTTATACCCCAAATTCCCACAGATATTGAATGAATTATGCAATTTCTAAAAGTGTTCAAAGAGTTAAAAATATTGTCAGAATAATTGCTATAACTCCAGCAGAAGTAGAAAGGAGTTTTTCAAAGATGACTGTATGTTCAGAGAAGCCACCTGTTTTTAATATATTACACAGTGACTATTATCTAAGTAGCCTACTTCTAAAAAAAAGGGATCCTATTCCTATAGTGAAAAGGTGGATAAGAATAAATCACACAGACGATAATGCTTGGATAAAAGTGAAGAATATTGCAAGTGAGGATGCCAATCAAGAAGCAATATGGAAATAAATAACACTTTTGCTGTTTTACTGTAAGGTATTACTTAATATCTTTTCATTAATATTTTGAAACTCTTATGACCTAATACAGTTTTGTGTACCTCTTTCACTGTTCTTATTTATGTATTAACTGTATGAAATAATAAACTAAATGATAAATTTAAAAAAAACAAAAAAACCCCCAAAAAACCAACTATTTTTATCTCAGAAATAAGTATTCTCACATTTTCGTGGTCATCAGGACTAGAAATACTAGAAGCTCTCTTGTTGTTTTAACTCTGTCAGGACTTATCTATAATTAGGTACCAAATTTCAGTGTTTTGGCCTCCCCGAACCTTCTTCAGACTTCCTCGCTTCTGTAAACTCATTCACTGCATTAGTTCATACCTCCATTGTCTCTTTGTCTGACGTGCAGAGTGGCCTCCTCTTCTTGTTAGAAGATCCAGAGTGATCTTCTTAAAACAGCTCTGTTGTTTAAAAACCTTGCCTGTTGTCCACTGCCTAGAGGATATAAACATACAGTATAATAGTTAATGCTCTCTGGAACCAGCTACCATGGTTCATATCCTCCATATTTGCTGTGTTAGCTTTAGAAAGTTATTTAACTTCTCTGAACTTCACCTTCGCTATCTGAAAACAACAACAGCAACAAAACCACACACAGTTTAACAAATGGAGGTGATAATAGTGCCTACTTCATTTAAATATTGAATGAGTTAATACCAATTGAAGCCTGTGAAAGCAAGCCCTAGAACTATCATTATCATTTCACCATAATCCATTATAAGTGCTTTTCAGGACTAGACACACATAATTATTGATGTCCCAATGTTGTTTACATATTGTTTTTAATATCTACTTGGGAGAGAGAGGAAAAGAGCGAGAAAGACGAGAGAGATTATTGAATCATTCCCAGAGAAAGAGTAGAGAAGAGGTGGTGTTTGCAGAAAATTCAGCTTTGCAATGCATCTACTCCTAATCATTTTCTTGAGGGCCTGGAAATGATTTTTTTAATATAATTATAGTTCTTAAGTCATCTAAATGTCTCTTGAACTTGCCAGATGCTGGCTGGCCCACTCCTTCGCCTGGCTCTGATATCCCATATAGTCCAGTAACATCAACTAATTTTTAAATTATTTTATTGGGGGCTCATACAATTCTCATCACAATCCATACATCCATCCATTGTGTCAAGCACAT